AATCGACAAAATTAGAGACCGTAAAAGCTAACTTGCCAAAGTTATAATTCTGGCCTCAAATGAAAAAGATTCAACTCACAAGAAATATAAAGTAAGAACAGATCCAGCATTCAATGTCTTCTTGCTTCGTGTCGGAAACGAAATAAAAGATAATTTGTTTCTTCGTGAACACTTGGTTATCAATCCCAATGGCAATGGTGGTGCATTTATTAAGAGAAATATTTTTATCATTAGATTTAGATGCAATTTGTGCAAATCGCATGATAGAATTAAAAAGATATCTTAGCTAGCATAAATGAATATGTTGATCAACTAAATAAAAGGTTGATTGCAAAATTTTATAGTAAAAACAACATGTTTTTCAGTTTTTGACTCAGCAGAAAATGATACCAATAATTACTACCAAGAAGAATACTTCAATACTTTAATACCAAGTGGCCTTCTGCCATGCATGTTTGTTATCAAGTTTATTATTTCTTACATATGTTAGTGGCACTGTATATATAATAGACTAAGTTAAAATTGACCTTCCACTGTATATAGGTTAATTTTGAAGAAAAATATGCTTGCCATGCTACTGAAAACTTAGATACGCCGAATAACTTATATACTAGAACACATATGGTATATAGAAGTTTTGACAATAACGTCATACATGCAAAATTTATTATACTGGTCAATGTGCTTCTAAGTATATTCTTCTCCCTGAATTCAACTTTCGTCTTCCGAAACTAAGGAATATCCTTTTAAATTTGTGTGAAAATATTTTTTAGTATGTTTATGTTTTGCAAATATAATAAATAAAGCACAAAGACAAACATTCTAAATATTGGATTGTATTTACCGCAATATATTTTCTTGCATGAAAACTACATGTTGCCCTTTCAAGAGAGATATCAAAATCGACAACAAGAGTTCTGGTAGGCAGAGCAGCCAAAGCATTAAGAAAAAAATACACAAAAAAAATTGTCCACGAAGAAGTGTTCGTCAAGATATCATCACATTAAATAATCTTAAACTATAATACATAATTATCTAACTAACATGACAAAATTGATCATTTGTGTAGTTTTGATGATGTCCCTTTATTTTAAATTCATGTATTATGCTAATGTAATAATATTTTTTGACATTTAGATGATTGTTGTGTTATTATACATAAAATTTCTCTCATTAATTAAATATTATTGTTCTTTCATATAAATAAATGTTTAAATCATCACTTGTTATTATTAACGTGCAATGCACGTTCATAGATACTAGTTCAACGAAAAAGGGCCATAATTGCCTCTGTACTTTTTCGCTCAGGGCAACATTTGCCCTCCGTTAAAACTTCGGTTGTTTTATGTCCCTGCCGTTATAAAAGTGGGCCAAATTTGCCTAATTCTCAAATTCAGTTAACGGAATCTTTAATAAAATACAATAAATTCAAATTTTAATGGAAAAAGGGCATAAGTGCTCTTTCCACATAGTTTAGGGGCAAGTTTAGCTCCTTTTAGTTGGCTAGTACTCGTTTATTCATTTGCAACCTTAATGTAAAAATTTTAAAATCTTCAAAAAGTCACATAATGTAATTATTGTATGCAGAAATAAAAGAAAAAAAAGATAAATAAGTAAGAATTAATATAATAGAACGCAGTGAAAAGAATCGTCTAAGAATATAAACTACGAGGGACTGATTAGACAAATTAGCATTTGGGTTTTATTACTTTGCTTAATTCAGTCTTCCTTATTTCTTCAAAATGTTAACTAAAAGATCTTCGCAATAGTTATGTTATAAATTGCCAGAAGTCAAAATATACTAATTTAGCAAATGTTAATTTGAAATTCAAATTCCTTGTTTTTATTGATTTAAGAGTAGATAGAACATAAAATTCATACTATGTGATAAATATAAATACCAATTCATATTTATCTTAAACTAGTTTTAAGGTACGCGCTTTGCGCGTTTATCCTATATTTATGAGTACATAATTTTAGAAAATATTTTAAAATAAATAAATATTTATATATCCTATTTGGCTAGCCTATTCAAAGAAAAATTCCGGTTCTACTGTATTATCCCTGCTAATGGTACTGATGATGTACCGAGCAACTTTAGCACTATTGTAATACTTTAGTCTTATGCATAAATAAAAATCCCATTAACCAACATAAATAAAGTAAGACTATAAAAGGAACATTTGAGTAAAGGGTATAAAGATTGTCACTAGTGCACCCTATATCAATGAGTACATAATTTCTATAAATTATCTAAATAGTTAAATAGTAATATATTTGAGTCACAAAATAAAGAGTAAAAAAAAGAATATACGTTCCTGAAAATAATATAAGTTAATCTTATATAGATAGTATAATTAAGCAAGAAATTATGCGTCGCATAAATCCTTGGATGCTTTACTGTGATTTTTCGTGAAGTTTTATAGAAATATCTCATGAATATTATTGTTATGTTTATGACCTAATACGAAAAATAAATAAGTAACACAAAATAGTTTAATCACTCTTATTTAAATTTTGTGAAACACAAAATTGGAAAACTAAATCTCTTAGAAATTTTGAAATTATCGTTGGCCCTGCGGCTCTTATGTATTATAACTCACAAGCGTAAAGTCAAAAAATGACTAATGTTAAGGTAATATTATTTTACAATAAATAAATTAATATAAAAAATATAGGAGTTCTTATTTGTTAGAATGAAAGCAAAAAAAAAAAAAAAAAAAAAAAAAACGACTCATTCACATTTTGTCTTATATTAAGTATAGCTTCAGGTTTGCACTTAGCCAATTCGATTTTTAATACTATTCAATAATCGATTTTATAATATTTTTTTCTTTCTTTACCAACATTCTTCTTATGAAAATAAATTTGTATATGTAAGGAGTTTTGTCAACTTGAAAAAATAAAAATATGTATATAATTAATTTGAAAAAAAATTGAATTGAATTGAATTCTCCCGCAATATGTTAATATAAAAACTTAATTATTTATCTTTACATTAAATGAAATAATTTAATTATCTCATTTCAAGTGTTGAATATTTACATTTAATAATAATTTTTTATTTAATAATTATTTTATTTTCGAAGGATAAAAAATCGATATGACATTTTACTTTGTTGCATGATTTCTTTGTGTGTTCTTAAAGTTTAGGGATAACGCCGCTTTTATTATTTAATAAATATCTCTTTCCGAACAGGTTTCCCCATCAGTAATGGGACGTTCGGGATGAAGCCAATAAAAAAATCGATTTGGATAATAGCTTAGCTTTTTATGTTTATTGACTCTTACCAATTATTTCTCTCTCTCTCTCTCTCTCTTTAAATTCGTAAATATTTCTTATTTATTTGTTTAATTATTGACTGTAGTTGTAAAATATTGTATAAAAATAAGAAAACATATTATTTAAGTGAAAGGTGGTTTACATATAATATAGAAATGTGAAATTGATCATTGAATAAATTATTCATCATTAATTGATACCGTGACATTTAACCATGCATATTTTTGTATTGTACTTATTTTGACCTTAATGAAAAACTGATACTATCAAGAAATTAGCACCTCCACTATTTCATTCACGTCAATTTATTTGACAAATAAAACGTTCGTATCGAAGATACTATAATTATATAAGCTAAATTTTTTGGACTTTGAAGTCCTAAATATTAGGAATCTTTACATAATTCAAATAAGGAAAGATTTTAATAAGTTGATTTCAAAGATCTAAATATTAGAAAAAATAATTAAATGACTATCTTGTCCAGTGTGAAATCAATTTTTAAAGGATAAGAATGGCGAACGACATTTCGCTAAGGGTTTTCGTGCTTCTAATATAGTATATATATAGATATAGATTAAAATACAAACACCAATTCATATAGGTTTGTGAGCACAAACACGCAACAAAGAGTAGATGGGTACTTAGAATTTAGGAAAGATAATAACTTCCAATGCTGTCAATTTAAATATCGTTCTAACCAAATAATCTTAGTCTAGAATAAGTATTAATTAAGGCAACAAAAAAGGCATTAGTTAGATTTTTTTCTAAAGAAGACTGAAGGGGCCAAAATTGTACCCGTACAATGCGAAGAGAGCACTTTTGCCCTTTTCCGTTAAAAGATTGTAATTTTTTCTGGTTGTTTTAGATTCCGTTAGTTGAATTTGTAAATAAGGACAAATATACTCCATTTTTGTAACAGCAGAGTCATAAAACAGCTAAACTTTTAACGGAGGGAAAATGTGTTTATTCAGTGATAATTACATTTTTCCCGTGCTGTTGCGGTTACATATTTTTGGATTAGAAAATTCGTGGATTAGAGCAGTGGCAGTGTCTGCTATGAGAAAAGGATGCTCCTCCACCTGTCAATTCAAGAGCTGTCTTCCTTTTTAGTTTAACCTTTTATCCTGGTCAGAAATGCCATTTTCAGAAGGAAAGAGGGACTTAATTGTTCAGGCTTATTTGTTTGGTTAAGATTTAAGAAACATACATATTGCGAATACAAATTGGAATAACATTTTTTTCAATCACTAAACAAATCAAACATGAGTCTGTTAGATAAATTAATGAAAGTAATTTTCAAAGTGACATAGAACTAGCAAAGCTTAGAGATATTGATTTTCAAACTGAACATTGTGGAAACCTAAGAAGAATAATACAGGTATATGCTGAATTAATCATAATGTCCGCAAATTCACTGGATATTACTTAAAAGATAGTAGCAAAAAGGAACTACATTTCCCCAGTCTCATTTTGAGTTTTCTCAATGGATATTCATAGTATCATTCATAATCAGTAACCAAAACTTAATAATTGTACTGATTGCAAGGAAAAAAAGGAGCTAAAGCAGCTACAGTTTATCAACAGAGTTTAATATTTTAAAAGGCTAGAACTACATCTTCTATATTCCTTCTGCAAATTACAGATCGCGAAAAGGAATATTGTCCGTCAGATCGTATCAACAGCTACAACCTCAGATTAAGATTCGGATATTTTACTTTCATCGTCTATCGGTGCTTCCTGTACATACAAAAGGCACCAACGGGGCCGGCTCGTAGCAAAACGGGGCCGCCGGATGCTGCCATTTCTTAAACACCATCATCGGCTTCTCCAAATGCTCTTTCCTCAAGTCTTCCTTATGAGCTGAGCTGGAAAACGAGTTTATCGCCGCCTTTAAGTTGTCCGATTCGGGAGAAGTCGGAGAAGTTATCAGCGGCGATAGAAGCGGTATCGCCACATTCCAATCGGTTGCGCGATTTACTTGTATAGAAGCCGGCGCTCGCCGTTGTAACCGACTTGGTTGTCGCCGGTCACCGGGAGAAAAACTCTGTTGTTTGTTGTCCGCCATTATAGTAGTGAGAGAGACGGAGAGATTGAGAATTAGGGTTGCAGTTGCAGAGAGCGGGGAAGAGTGAACAGAGCAAGGAGTATAAATAGGGGGTATGTGGAGTGCACGTTGCGGAGAGAGTAAAAGCGGAAAAGGGGTGATACAGATTCAGTCAAAGGTCAAAGTAACGGACCCAGAGAAAAAAAAGGTGAGATTTTCTCTAGACAAATGCACTAGTTTGTGTGACGTTTGATTGCACGTAATTTTTTTTTTTAAAGTATTAATCCAAATAGTGGCTCATCCAACTAATTAAATAAAAATAGCCGTTGAATATATATATATATATATATATATATATATATATATATATATATATATATATATAAATACATAATTTGTGTATTATATATATGTAATTGTATATAATCAATATATAATTTTTGTATACGACTAGAAAAAGTAAATAATGGATATTCTCTACTTTTATTTAACCCCAACTCATTTGAATTGGTGAGGGCAATTCATTTTTACGACTTGAACCCGAGATTACTAGTTAATGATTGAAGAATTAATTTATACATAATTTTCTTTAGTTATATTATACAGCCATGTTTAATTTAATACGAAGTTTTTAATGAAAGAATTTTCTTAACAATACTCTTAGGAGTTGTTTGATTATTGAGATAAGGATCTAATCCTAGAATAGATTTTTGGCATTGCATTTATTCCATATTGGTTATGACTTTTAGCTAATATTGGTGTAAATTATATAGTTAAATAATAGTGTTAGTGATCCCATATACTCCAAGGTAGGATAGTTAATCAACCCACGGCATATCCTTATTTATCCCACAGTTAAGGGTCGTTTGGTTCTAATAAGTTTATCCTATATATTAGTTAATATCAGTAACCAAACGATAGATAAATGTAACTCTAAACTAATTCCGATAATTGACTATCTCTTAAATTTTGTGATAGTAAACCATTCATGACATTTATATGATTAGTGATAGCTTATTAGTCATTATCAATGTAGGCCCTAGTCAAGTAGTAGTATTCTAACCTGACGTAATTACTCAAAAGGTTGATATTGCATGCTGCTGTGTGGATGGAGAAGCTCAAGCACCGTTTTCATCTTTGGACGTCTCTTTCTTTCTTTGTGTATGGGTCAGAATCCGACCCCACGATAATTAACGAGGCTAATCCCGTTTCAAGCTAATTCATGATTAATTAGTGGTACGACCACTCAGAATTGACGATGTTCAATCCGCATCCGGCTCGATCGACAAGGCCATGGCCTATCCGCCACCATAAAGGCGAGATCCCAACGTGGTCACGGCCATTTATTGCCAGCTCACGAAGCCCACAGCTATAAATACTAAGAGTGGAAGCCCTAGAAAGGGGGCTGCTTCTTCATCACTATGGAGGAGAGAGAGAGAAGAGAAAAACACACCCTTCTTACGGGAAGTGAAAACACCATTGTAAGGCTTTGAACCTCTTCATGGAGAGGCAGACCAAACCATACTTATCAATAAAGGCTTTTAAATACCTCTCCCCCTAATCCTGAGTACTGCTTTTCGCTTCCTTCTTATGGTCCAATGGATTATTACGATTTGCTATGATTTTCCCGTAATTTATTCGTATTGTTTTGCATTCATAAGATATGTAATAACTTTTGAATCAAACAATTTGGCGCCGTCTGTGGGGATTTCGTAGCAAAATCGCGTAGTTCTTCCATGGACCAAAAGGAATGAAACGCCAGTTGGGAAGAACAACCCAGCAAAAACAAGCCAAAGCGGCATATCAGGCCGATGGAACTCGAAGATCTCGAATCGAGGTCCAGTCCCTCATCTATCTAATGGTGCAAACAAGAAGAAGCAGAGCAGCCCCCCTTCTTTTGGGGAGAATCTTCGTAAGAGATCTCCCACAGCCCCCCTTCTTTTGGGGAGAATCTTCGTAAGAGATCTCCCACATCCCTGATAAGGGCTCCAGCCGGAAACCAGCACGGAGGAATCTCGAATCGAGGAGCGCTTCGAGACAGCCTACATACCCCGGTTGGGAAGATAACGATTAAGCTGCTCAAGATCTCGAATCAAAATCGAGCTTCAGCTCCCAAAAACCCACGAACCAAAAAAAAAAAGTTCAACTACGGTTGAACCAAGACAGGCTATGCGCCTTCACCAGAAAGTTCAACTACGGTTGAACCGGGACTCAGGCCATGAGCCTTCGCCGTCAAAATCGACTAAGTTCAACAACAGTTGAACCGGAACTCAGGCCATGAGCCTTCGCCATCTAAATCATTAATCAGGCTATGCGCCTTCGCAAAAGTTCAACTACGGTCGAACCAGAACTCAGGCTCAGGCTATGCGCCTTCGCCAAAAAGTTCAACTACGGTTGAACCAAGACAGGCTATGCGCCTTCACCAGAAAGTTCAACTACAGTTGAACCGGGACTCAGGCCACGAGCCTTCGCCGTCAAAATCGACTAAGTTCAACAACAGTTGAACCGGAACCCAGGCTATGCGCCTTCGCCAAAAAGTTCAACCACGGTTGAACCAATCCAGGCTATGCACCTTCACCAGAAAGTTCAACTACGGTTGAACCGGGACTCAGGCCATGAGCCTTCGCCGTCAAAATCGACTAAGTTCAACAACAGTTGAACCGGAACTCAGGCTATGCGCCTTCGCCATTAAATCCAGGCTATGCGCCTTCGCCAAAAAGTTCAACTACGGTTGAACCAAGACAGGCTATGCGCCTTCACCAGAAAGTTCAACTACGGTTGAATCGGGACTCAGGCCATGAGCCTTCGCCGTCAAAATCGACTAAGTTCAACAACAGTTGAACCGGGACTCAGGCCCTGAGCCTTCACCGTCAAAATCGACTAAGTTCAACAACGGTTGAACCGGGACTCAGGCCATGAGCCTTCGCCGTCAAAATCGACTAAGTTCAACAACAGTTGAACCGGGACTCAGGCTATGCACCTTCGCCATTATATCAAGGCTATGCGCCTTCGCCAAAAGTTCAACTACGGTTGAACCAAGACGGGCTACGCGCCTTCACCAACAAGTTCAACCACGGTTGAACCAAGACAGGCTATGAGCCTTCGCCACCAAATTTAACAAAGTCCAACAACAGTCGAACTGGGACTCCGGTTGCGTGCCTTCGCCAATAAGTCCAGCCACGGTCGAACCTAGATTCAGGCTATGTGCCTTCGCTATTGAATCCAACGAGCCCGACCTCCAACAAATCAAAGCGCAGGATAGGCACCCTCACCATTCAAGTAAGTTCCCCCAACTCGAATTAAGATTCGGCACGTAAAGTTCGGCCCGGTCAAACTACGAGGCCACGTTTTTTACTACCACGACCGGTAGTTCGACCGCGCCCGAACTGGGACTAAGGCTAAACGCCGCTATCGCCAAATAACGGCTAAGACTCGCCCACACCGAGTTGAAAAAGCAAGGCCATCAATTATATTATGTCTAAGGCCATCGCCACCAATGGTCGACCTAGATTCGACTACGGTGAGTAAACGACTCGACGACAGTCGAAGTCGCCTACATGGCCAAGACCTTCAACTATATCATGGCTAAGGCCATCGCCGCCAACGGTCGACCTAGATTCGACTGCGGTGGGTAAACAGTTTGACGACAGTCAAAGTTGCCTTTATGGCTAAGGCTGCCGATTCCATCAACGCTAAAAGTCGTCGATCTAAACTTCGACTAGGGCCGCCAAACGTCGACGGTCAACAAAATAAGCACAAGGCAGGCAATGGAAAAGAAAATTTATATATTTNCCGCCACTGACCTGGGCGTCCTGCTCAAAGACACCAATCCGCTCCTCGAGACTCGCTTCTCTAAAGGCCGCAGCATCCCTTTCCAATGCCCGTTGGGATTCGTGCACGCGGATAGCCTCCTCCAACGCCCCGGCCCTCGACGAAGCATCCCTCACTTGAAGCTTCAATGCCGCGACCTCACCCTCCAACGCGGTCACTTTCCCGCTCTATGCCGCAGCGGCCTTCGCCGCCTTGGCCTCGCCCCGGCGCTCGCACTCAGCTGCGACCCTCTTTACCGCTTCGAACTCCTCATCCTTTCGGCGGAGCTGCTCCTCGAGAGCACTCGTCCTGCCAAGTATTTGCTGCATCTGAAGCTCCCGCCTCGCCAGCTCTTCGACCAAGACCCGGCTGCGAGGATCATTCCTCAAGCGCACGCGCAACTCTCGGCACTGATCTCGGTAGCGGCGATACTTCTCCAGCGCCTGCAAAAATATCCCCGAGCGGACCTTGGCTCGACGGATGCTCTCCACCTCCAACAGATAAGACTGCAATGCAAAGACAACGATTAGAATAAAAGAATAAACCTAAGGCAAAGAAGAAGCGAACCGACGTAATAGTACATACCCTCAAGCCCATCACGACTACTTCATTCATCAGCCCGACATACATAACGCCCCTCAACGACGCATTCTCGGCCTCCGAGCATAACAACTCGAACTGCGGCACCAAGCTTTCCCCTTGGATCAATAAGTTCAATTCCGTGGGAACCTCGATAAAGCGAGATCGCCACCCTGCACGCACCGCTGAATTGGTGGAGCCTTCCTGGAACATACGGACGTCGTCGGGATCCAAGTTGGATTCAGACTCATCCTCACCCCCTACAACATCTCCTCCCGCCGCAGCCCCCGTTTCAGCGAATGGAACCACCAATTGAGTCGCCGAAGCGACGGTATCATCACGGCCTAAGCCAACCGGGGCAACCCCCATTGTTTGTCCACCCTCGAGGGCAGGCGCCGCAGCCGCACTCCTCTCCGCGTCCGCCGGGGGGGAGTCCAAATTAATTACCACAGGAGGAGCCGGCGCGAACGCGACCCTACGCCTTATCAACGGCCTCTCCTCCTCCCCATCTGATGACGATTCCGCTCTAGGGCGCACAACCCTCGATGGCCCCTCGTCCCGAAGACGGGTCCTTGATGGAGAAGAAACCGCTGAAGATTCAACTGAGGCCGCCCTCGGTATTGAGCGCGACA